ATTTATTGTAGAGATGAGGTCTCGCTGCCCAGGCAGGTCTCGAACCCGCGGGCTCAGGCAATCCACTCACCTCAGCCCCCCAAAGGCGCGGGATTACAGGCTGAGCCACCAAGCCTGGCTGTTTTATTTGTTATAGAGACATCGTTCTCCAGGACCCATTCTCTAAGAATTATGTCTCTGGGAAATTCTGGATAAAGTTCACCCAGTTTTGCCTTCACGGGCCAATGTTTTTGGGGCCCAGGTTTTCACAGCTGAGAATAAAATGTGGGGCTGGAAGAATCACTTCCTATACAGTCCCACCCTCACTTCCAGCTTGGAATAAACCATGTTCTTAATAGTGTCCTGTGTGTAAACTATCTCCTCTTATCACCCATGACATATTTAAGAATCTGACCATCTACAACTCTCTAGGTTTTTCTGTTCTTCTATAAAAGCTCTGAATGCAAATAAGTTATATTTTCACATGAATAATAGCAGATCATGAAACCTATTTATAAGTAAAATATACTGTAGTACATTTCCTAGTGCTAAAGCAAACCAAAACCAGAAAGAGAGGTTGGGGAGCGATTCATTTTCACCTCATTGGGTATTTTTCCTTGCTCCTCAGGAACACAGCAGCTACACTTTGACGGTAGAAGCAAGGGATGGTAATGGACAAGTAACAGGCAAACCTGTGAAGCAAGCTCAAGTTCAGATTCGTATTTTGGATGTGAATGACAACATACCTGTAGTTGAAAATGAAGTGGTAACTATAGTCTTAATAGTAGATGTAACTATTTGTTCAATTTTAGCACAAACTATAAAAATATGTCACATGTGTATTACATTAAAATGAGACTCTTGTGTTCCTGTCTTGCAGTATGAAGGGACGGTTGAAGAGAATCAAGTCAATGTGGAAGTTATGCGCATAAAAGTGTTCGATGCAGATGAAATAGGCTCTGATAACTGGTTAGCAAATTTTACATTTGCCTCAGGAGGCGGAGAGGGTTATTTCCACATAGAAACAGACACTCAGACTAATGAAGGAATTTTGACCCTTATTAAGGTAAGTACTGAGGGTTCAAGTCTGGGAAGGAACAGGTTGGTGCTGGTGAGGAATCTGACATATTTTGAGGCCTGAACACTGATAAGTGTTTTATATACTCAGTTAACTAGCACCACAATGATTTGAGAAGCAGGTCATCCCTGAATGCCCAGGTTCTGTGGTTAGGAAGTGATCAGACTGCAATTCAAATTCAGATCAGGGGACTCTGGTCCTAGCCGGACAGCGTGATACCAACATTGCTCTTGCAAAGGACATTTCCAGGACTGCTTGTAGCCCATGCTTGATAAAGTGTCCTCAGATCATGGCTGCTTCTTCTGTGGTGCCTCCTACCTCTTGTTTATCAAATTTGCAGTAAAGATATAACCTTACTCATAACTTCTAAAAACAAAAGCTGTGCTAACTGGACACTTAAGTATGCCTAAGAATCACCTGGTAAAACCACATACCAGAAATGCAGATTCTGGGGTCCCATCATCATATAGTTTCATTGGGTGAGGTTCAGGAACTTGCCTTTTTAACAAAAATCCACTTGTGATTCTGATGTAAGTAGGATGAGGGTCACATACGGAAACAAAGTGTCCTAAGTTCTTATGCTTCATTAAATCAATGAAGGAAAAATTAAATAGTCATATTAGGCATTCGGGCCTTTTTTTTTTTTTTTTTTTAGATTGGAAAAAATAGTTTATTTCGAAAATAGATGAGAGAGAGAGAGAACATTCACCTGCCCAAGGTTAGGGAGGGGGCGCCAAAGCTTAAAGAGAAGCATGGCCAGCATTCGGGTCTTATATATTTGTATCTCATAACCCCACAAGAACTTTTTCAACAAAAACTACAAGATGGATTTGTATGTAGCAAAATAGGGAATAAAGTCAGTGTATTTGTCAATGGTTTGTGTTAGAATTGCCTTACCAAACTGTAAAAGAAAATGCAAAGCTATAGCTTTCAAAGTACTATTTTATTATATTATACACAGATAAAAATTGACTCTAGAAGCTTCCAAATTTTTACAAAAACTTAATATGTTAACAGACTAGGTAAAAATCTAACAGTAAAAAGAAGAATGATTATAAATGTATAACAGAATTCATTTAATACATTTTAATCTGTAGGTTAAAAGAATTAACCTGAAGTTTCACGGTAATAATTATGAGCACTACTTATTGATAGGCTACCATATGTATTTAAACCACCTTTTTAAAAGCAGAGGAAAATTGAATAACATTACTTCAAAGAGAAGACATTTTATGATTATTGAAAAAATGGGTAATATCATCAGATATACATTCATCTGCTTGTATAGAAATAAACATAATTTTTAGTCATCAGTTATAAATGCAACCATGCCAGATGTTTGAGATACAAAAGTTGATAACAAATATAAGAAGAAACAGTCATACATTGATGAATGGTGGAGATGCTGGACTAGAGGTCCAGTTCTGTGCCACGTAACATGTCGGTCAACAACAGACTACATACACGATGGTGGCCCCAATAAGATTATAATGGAGCTGAACAATTCCTGTCTCTTAGTGATGTTGTAGCCATCGCAAGGTCATAGCACAATGCATCACTCACATGTTTGTGGTGATGCTAGTGTAAACAAATCTACCTCACTGATGGTCCTATGAAAGTAGGGCACATCCAGTTATGTATAGTACATAATTCCTGAAAATGATCATAACCAACTATGTTACTGATTTATGTATTTACTGTACTATATTTGTCTCATTATTTTAAAGTATACTCCTACTTTAAAAAAAATAATAAACTTGGCTGGGTACAGTGACTTACATCTTGTATGCCCAACACTTTGGGAGAGCAAGGCAAGAAGATCACTTGAGGCCAAGAGTTCAAGACCAGCCTGGGCAACACAGTGAGACCTAGTCTCTGCAAAAAATCAAGAAATGAGCCAGGCATGTTGGCGGGCGCCTGTAGTCCCAGCTACTCGGGAGGCTGAGGAGGGTGGATCCCTTCAGCCCAGGAGGCTGCAGTGAGTCGTGATGGTGCCACTGCACTCTATTCTAGGCAACAGAGTGACACCCCGACTCAAAAGCAAACAGACACCTATAGAACAGCCTCAGGCAGGTCTTTCAGGAAGTATTCTAGAAAAAGAAATTGTTATCATAGGAGATGAGAGCTCTATTGCCCCAAAAGACGTTCCAGTGGGACAAGATGTGGAGATAGAAGACAAGATGCCGATAATTCCAACCCTGTAGAGGCCTAGACTAATATGTGTGTTTGTGCCTTAGTTTCTAACAAAAAAAAAATTTTTTAATAGGGAAAAGCTTATAGAATAAAGATACAAAGAAAGAAAACATGTTTATATAGCTGTACAATGTGTTTGTGTTTTATAAGCTAAGTGTTATTCCAAAAGAGTCAAAAAGTTTTAAAAATTAAAAAGTTTGTAAAGTAAAAAAAGATATGGCAAGCTCTGGTTAATGTATTATTGAAGGTAGTTTTCTAAAAAAATTAATTTAGGCTGGGCACGGTGGCTCAAACCTGTAATCCCAGCACTTTGGGAGGCCGAGGTGAGAAGATGAGCCCCGGGGTTTGAGACCAGCCTGGGCAACTTGGCGAGACCTCATCTCTACAATAAATAACGTTTAAAAAAAATTAGCCGGGCGTGTTAGCACGCATTTGTAGTTCTAGCTACTTGGAAGGCTGAGGTGGAAGGATCGCCTGAGCCCAGCAGGTTGAGGCTGCGGTAGCTGTGAGCATGCCACTGCCTTCCAGCCTAGGTGACAGAGTGAGACTCCAACTCAGAAAGTTAGCTAATTAATTAATTTAGTGTCGTCTGCTTACAGTGATGATAAAATCTACAGTAGCATACAGTAATGTCCTAGGCCTTCACATTCACTCACTGCTAACTCACCCGGAGCACCTTCCAGTCCTGCAAGCTCCAATCATGGTTATTGCCATATGCAGGTGTACCATTTTTTAATCTTTTATACTGTATTTTTATTATACCTTTTCTATGCATAGGTATGTTTATATACACAAACATCATGTCACAGTTGCCTACAGTGTGCACTACAGTAACATGCTATACAGGTTTGTAGCCTTCATATACCATACAGCCTAAGTGTAGTAGGATACACCATCTAAGGTTTGTGTAAGTACATGTTATGATGTATAAGGATGAAGTTGTGTACATTCTCAGGTCATATCTCCCTTGTTAAGTGATATATGACTCTATTCTCAGTATACTATGATAGCACAAAAAAGGGATGTAGCTGTTTCTACCAAGAGGGGGTATAGATGAAAGACCGTAAAATTAGTATTTCCATGAAAACAACAGAGTGTGAAAATTACAGGGCTGGACCCGGTGGCTCATACCTATAATCCCAGCACTTTGGGAGACCAAGCTGAGAGGATTGCCTGAGGTCACAGGCTCAAGACCAGCCTGGGCAACTTGGCAAGACCTCATCTCTACAATAAATCAAAAATTAGCTAGGCATGGTGGTGCTTGCCTGTAGTTCCAGCTACTTGGGAGACTGGGGCAGAAGGATCACCTGAGCCCAGCAGGTTGAGGCTGCGGTGGTTGTGAGTGTGCCACTGCACTCCAGCCTGGGCGACAGAGACTCTGACTCAAAAAAAATGGATGAAGTGTATGTAAATTATAGCCTCAGTGAAACTGTCAAAAAAATAAATAAAGAAAGAAGATAAACAGAATTTTAAAAATGGAAATAGAGATAAAAAATTACTAGCTCTATTTGCAGTAGAGTTAGAGATAGAAAAATTCACAGCTAATTGTTAATTAACAAATAACTTTAGCCAGGCTCAGTGGCTCAGCCTGTAATCCCGCGCCTTTGGGAGGCTGAGGTGAGTGGATTGCCTGAGTCTGCGGGTTCAAGACCCGCTTGGGCAGCAAGACCTCATCTCTACAATAAATCAAAAAATCAGCCGGGCATGGTAGCGCATGCCTGTAATTCCGGCTACTTGGAAGGCTGAGACGGAAGGATCGCCGGAGACTAGCAGGTCGAGGCTGCGGTGGCCGTGAGCGGTCACTGCACTCCAGTCAGGGCGACAGAGTGAGACTCCAACTCAAAAAAAAACAAAAACAAATAACTTTAAAATATTGAAATAGCAAAATGAAAATGACAAAATATGTGACAGTTTTTAAAAGGAGAGGTATATGCCTTCATCTATTACTCACGATGCTGGAAATTATCCATTTGCTTGGAAGCATTTTATGGCTATGACAGACACTAGGAGGTGATTTTTATGACCCCAACATCTAGCTCATTTTTTAAACATTGTCTTGGTCTTCAAATATCAGTGACATCTCTCTAGAACATTTTCTCATTCAGCACATCATGCCACCAAAACAAACATGTCAAAGGCAAGAGTGAATTAAAAGAAATTTCCCAAAGATTTTATACTCAAAAAGAGTGTATTTTTCTCTAGTCATTTTCTGTTGTGTTCTTATCTCAACACCATAGTGATCCATATTTAAAAGGAAGCAGAAGTCATTAGCCATTCAGAGCCCTACATAGGGAAAAATGAAATTCATAATGACTCATCCAAAAGCCAAATGAACAACAGCATTGCTATCATTCATGGAAACCTACATAATGTATTTAACGTTATACCAAAGAAACAAACAAAAGTGTTCAGAGATACTAGAAATAAAAAACAACAGGTCCTAAATAAACTTTGACTGGGTCATTCTTTTAGTCATAGGATATAGGTCAACAGAAGAAAAATGTGTATAAATATTCTGAGCAATATTAATTATATTTTAAAATTGCAAATAGCCCAAATGCCTAATAATAGAATAGTTAAGTAAATTAAGTACATCTAAATAGAATACTATGAAAATGCTAATAAAAAGAAAATGAAAAATTTGGACCATAATGTATAGATACAGTAATCAACTGGTGATGTAAAATGGACAAGTATAACTATCACAAAGGATTGTTTGAAGGAAGGCTAATTTTTCATGGGGAATTAACAGCAAACTAGATATTATAGTATTATGCTAAAAAGGAGGGGGCTATGTCCTTTGTTTAAACAAATGTGAAAATCCATGGATTTCATTCTTTAATCCAGGCGTTTGCCATATTGTAATATACTAATATGCAGTGCAAATCTATATTAGGGGGACAGAGCTTACCAAGCTACTACTATTTATGTAGTTCTTTTCACCAAAATGAACCCATGGAACACATTTTAAGGATATTTATCTATGTTGAATGTCCATTAATTCTTTTAAATCAGGAAAACATTATTTCAGATTATTACTTATTTGTTTATGTATTTATTTATTTTTGAGTTAGAGTCCCACTCTGTCACCCAGGCTGGAATGCAGTGGCACACTCACAGTCACTGCAGCCTCGACCTGCTGGGCATGGGTGATCCTTCCACCTCAGCCTTCCTAGTAGCTGGCTATAGAAGTGTACTACCACAGCCAGCTAATTTTTTTTTTTTTGGCTTATTGTACCTCAGCGGGAGGCTGCAGTAGAAGTATTGCCTGAACCTAGGAAGGTGAGGCAGTGGTGAGCTGTGATTGTGCCACTGTACTCCAACTTGAAGGACAGAGTGAAACCCACACTAAAAAAAAAAAAGTATTCTAACATTAAAAATAAAAAAGTAGTCATGCATGTAGGTATGTGTGTGTGTTCTAGTTATTTTCTCACTTTAAAAAAATCCCCTTTGGTTTTGCCTTCCTAGGAAGTAGATTATGAAGTAATGAAGAATCTTGACGTCGGCATTATTGTCACTAATAAAGCAGCTTTCCACAAGTCCATTAGGAATAAATATAAGCCAACCTCCATTCCCATCAAAGTCAAAGTGAAAAATGTGAAAGAAGGCTTTTATTTGAAAAGCAGCACAATCTCTGTCCACGCTAGTGAGAGCATGGAAAGATCAAGCCGAGGGCAAGTAATCGGGAAATTTCAAGCTTTGGATGAAGACACAGGACGCCAAGCCCGTGTAAAGTAAGATAGTTATGAATATATTTCCTCACATTAAGTAATTTTAAATGCCTATTTTCAAAAAATTGTCATGAAATTCGAGCACTTCATTCCTTTTCATCCCAGCATTATAATTCCCCAAAGGTTGGTAGATTCAAATTCTCAAGTTGTGCCTGTAACTGAGATATGAGAAGAATTCTTACCAGAATCCTCATTCCTCAGTCACCTGCATATGAAGAGGGTTCTAGAACTGGAACAGTTCTGGCTAGAAGAGGCTAAAAAACAACAAAAGAAAAACTCAAAAAAAAACTTTCTAAAATCTGTCTTAGGCTATTGAAGAGAACATGGCAGGTAACATTTACCACAAGTCTTAATGTTTGCAAGATTGGTTAAGATAAATAGTTGCATAATGTATTTTAGAATAGGGAAACCAGTTTTACTTATACATTAATCTAGGGAATGAGTCTTCATGTAAACCATGCTATTTACTTCAGAGATTGGTGAACCTTTCAACGTTTGTCTCGATCATGGTGACCTTTCCTCAGAATACATTTCCTGAGAACCTTCTAGATGCCACCACTGAGCGGGAAGTGACTAGATTGTGTCCACTTTATATTGACATCTTAGGTTTGCATGATACTTTTAAATTTTCAAATAAAGTTTACATCTTAGATCTCAGAGCCATGCCATGGGGAGACTACTCTTTACACAGCTATTATTTATGGAGTTCTAGTTACTGTCACTGCAATTAAATTTAAAGAATCTCCACTTGCTGCCCAAGACATACAACTTTAGCGACTTCCTGCTCAATGTCAGAGTTCCTCATTGCTTGACTATCCTAAGTCTGTGTTCCAGTCTTAGTCCATTTGGGTTGCTCTAACAAAGATACCTTAGCCCGAGTAACTTATAAACAGCAGAGATTTATTGCTCACAGTTCTGGAGGTGGGGCAGACACTCAAGGCACCAGGCAGGAGATCTGGTGTCTGGTGAGTCTCGTTCTCTGCTTCCAAGGTTGTGCCTTGTTGTGTCTGCACATGGCCAAAGAAGCAGGGAGCTTCCTGGAGCCCCCTTTATCATGAAGTGGTTTTCTCATGACTTAATCTCTTCCCAAAGGCCCCATCTCTCAATGTGATCATACTGGGTATTAAGTTCCAACATGTGAATTTTGGGAGGTTACCAACATGCAGACCAGAGCAGGCCCTGTATGCCAACACTTCATAAAATACTATAATTGGATGCTTGACTAACTATAGCTAGAAAGAGAATGTGGAAAAGCTCTTCAACAACTTCCTTCCTGTTAGTGAATCTTCTTTTAATGGAATTCATCAAATAACCTTATTCAAAAGTAATAATAACAAACAGCTTCCACATTGTTTTCAGTAGTGCCTTGGTAACCCTCTCTGGCCCACCAGCCTGTAGGCTCCAGCCCTACTTCTCTTGAGTTATGTGGTCTAGTTTTAATTCCCACAGCTCTATACCTAACAAGATTCTACACCCTAACTGAATCCCCCAAATTGAGAATGAATGTTCTATATGACAATTTCTCACTTCTGTCCACTGAGAAGCTTACACATTCTAATTATCTACTAATAAAAAGTGGCTGTCTATTGAAACTTCAGTTTCCCACATAATCAATTAATTTTGGCTGCTATTTTTCTTTGGGGCTATGTGTGTATCAAAAGATTCCGTGTTCTGCCTTGAGGAATAATGAATCATTTCTCAAGTGCGTTATTTTGTTCTTTAGCATACAATGATAGGACTTTAGAAAGAGAAAGATCTTAAAGATCATTTCAAGCCTGTTATTTTGCAGATAAGGAATGGGAGGCACAGCCAAGTTCAATTTTTTTCCAAGTGTTCACCTAATTGATTTGTGTTGCTGTTCTGAAATGTTGATAATAGCGGTACACAGATTGTTCCCTTGGCTTTTACTGTTTTTCTAATTATTCGTGTGCATCAGCTGCTTATGGATTGGGGGCCTAACATGTGAGCAGCTATGCTACTTAAATGGCGTCTAACTTTTACAACAGAGAACAGTTAGAAGATTCCTTAAATTAGATTACACAAAGCATCCATTATTACTAATACTGTACCTGTATTATAAGTGTGAATGTTGGGGAGTCATAGACAGCAACTTCAATTCAAGCTGTACATTTTCAGACATGAAATCCAGTATTTACTTGTGAAAATCCAAATGTATTATTATTTACTAATAAGACTATTAAGAGGCAGAAAAATTTAGTTCAAGTTTATAATTGGATGTTTTCAAATGGCATCACACATAAATATTGCTAAAATTAGCCACTTATTCCTGTTGCCTAAACAGCCACTTAATAGGAAATAAATTGTCAATTTGATTGATTGAACCAAGATACTGATATGTTTGATTTGTATTGGTATGTTTATGTTAAACTCAATAGCATCAGTTACATAAATATTATAAAAAGAGCATTCTCCTTGCCTTTTCAGTATTGTCTCCTACGCAAATTCTCCTTGCTTTGAGAGAAGAAATTCAGAAATCATTTTGTCTGCATTGTTTTTACTTTTAGCCAACTCTACCTAACAATCAATAATATCCCATCATTTTTAGATACTTCCATTTATGACAATCATTGATTTTTAAACGTTGCTAATATCCCAATAAACATTGTTGTATAACTAAGTTATCCCTCAAAAGCATGCCGCACATTTAAAGGAGCTTAGATAGAAGCTGTAGAACAGACTGCAGAGAAACTTACAAACCTCCTGGGTTAGTGGGCTCAAGATTGTCACTCTTGGCTAGGTGCAGTGGCTCATACCTGTAATTCTCAGAACTTTGGGAGGCCAAGGCAAGAGGATTACTTGAGCCCAGAAGTTCGAGAGCAGCCTGGGAAACATAGTGAGACCACATCACTACAAAAATAAAAAGAAATTAGCCGTCATGGTGGTGTGCTCCTATAGTCCCAGCTACTCCCAGGTTACACAGGAGGATCGTCTGAACCCAGGAGGTCAAGCCTGCAGTGGTCCATGATCGTGCCACTGTACTCTAGCCTGGAAGACAGTGAGACCCCACCTCCAAAGAATATATACATAGGGATAAGGAAGATTCTAAATGTAATATGCAGTAAAGAGAGGAAGATTCTAAGTGTAATAATGCAGTAAAGAGAGGGGCTTTCAGGATAGTTTCAAGAAATTAAAAACATTCAAAATAAATGCCTATAACAAGAACATATTTAATTAGAAATTAAGCTCAAGAGAGTGATAGATTACAGAATTATAGATTCTAGATAGAATTATAGACTCTCAGCTTATCCAGAATTCAATATTAATTTTATGTTTGTTTTATAACAGATATGAAAAACTGGAAGATATAGACAATTGGGTCTTTGTGGATTCTGTCACATCTGAAATTAAACTTGCAAAAATTCCTGATTTCGAATCTAGATACGTCCATAATGGTACATACACTGTAAAGATTTTGGTTATATCAGAAGGTATGTTATTAAATAGGTATTTTCCTTGTTATATGTATTTAGATGTTTATTCTCCAACATCAGATACTTTTGTTCTGATCATGTATAAAAACCTAAGCTCAGCTAGATGTGATGGCCTGTATCTGGAACCCCAGCTAGCTCCTTAGGAGACTGAAGCAATAGGATCTCTTGAGCCAAGAGTTTGAGATGCCTGGCACAATGGTTCACACCTGTAATCCCAGCACTTTGGGAGGCTGAGACAACAGGATTGCCTGAGCCCAGGTATTCTAGATCAACCTGGACAACTTGGAGAAACTTTGTTTCTATAATAAATTTTTAAAAAATTAGCCGGGTGTGGTGGCTCGTGCCTATAGTTCCAGCTACTTGGAAGGCTGAGGTGGAAGGATCACCTGAGCCCAGTAGGTCGAGGCTGTGGTAGCCATGAGCATGCCACTGCACTCCATCTTAGGCAACAGAATAAGACTGACTCAAAAAGAAGGGTTCAAGACTAGCCTGGACAACATAATGAGATGCTATATTTTTTTAAAAATTGTTAAACCTACTGTATCCAATGGAAAAGCCCTTATATTTCTATGTATTGAGTGTATTCAAAGATAAGACTTGGTCCCTAAGTAATTTGTACCTTCTCTATACCAAATTGGCAAAAAAATTCAAACTATGTCCGTTGTCAGCAATAGGATCAGAACGTACATACTTTTTCTTTCTTATTTTTAAGATCATCCCAGAAAAACCATTACTGGCACCGTTGTTATCACAGTTGAAGATATCAATGACAATTGTCCCATGCTGGTGGAACCAGTGCAGAATATCTGTAACGACGTACAGTATGTGAACGTTACTGCAGAGGACCCAGATGGATACCCAAACAGCGGACCTTTCCGTTTCTCTATCATTGACAAGCCACAAGGAATGGCAGAAAAATGGAAGATAGTACACCAAGAAAGTAAGCAAAATCATCCCATCACACCAGAATCTAAATACTAAGCATGATAGGTATCTAAAATATTTATAATATAGGTTACGTTTCTTCTTATAAATTACATTTCCAATATAGTTTTTAAAAGGAGTTTCTAAAATGAGGTTCTGAACCTATATGCACATAGCATATTTTATGGTATTTTTAGTATCTTATATATATCTATGGAGAAAAGAAAAACATTCCAAAATGTCTTGAAGGTAGCTGGGTGTTCTCCAAATAGCTCTCAAAGTAGTTTTGTCTCATAAGGTGAGAGTACCAAGCCTTTCTAAGTACCACAATCACAGTAGGTGCCTTCTAAAAAATCTTGAAGTGTAGTAACAGTAATCCCACTGAAAATAGCAATGTATTGAGCACTTGTTATGTGCCAGGCACTCTGTTAGCCCTAACTTTGCTTATCTTATTGAGTGCTTACTTCATAGCATTATTCCCTGGCTACAGCCCAGGAATCCTTGACTTAACATGAGGTAAGTACTTGCTCCAAATCACACAGCTAGAACATGAGAGAGACAACATGACAAAGGGTTTATCTGATCCTCCCTAATGCTATATCTTGGACGTATGGACATGTGAACCATGTGATGGATTGGTATGAGACTGTTGGTGTTCCTTAGGGTAGTTTTGAATACAGAATAGTCTATCCAGAAAACTATTTTGTTTTTTAAAAAGTAGTAGTCATTTCAGAAAAGCTTCAAATATAATGCCCAAGTTTTTCTTGATTTACAGGTTTACTTTACATTATTTTTGTGTAACATTATTTCGTGTCTAACAGATGTTTACAAACATTTTAAGAGGCTTTGAGTCATGTTTGGTCCCTTTTACAAATTAAACACCTTCAACATTTCAAGTTGCATTTACAGACTGAGTATATTTTGTTTCCTTTCTTATGTATTTCAGTGATCTGAATTAACAAACCCTCCCTGAGATCCTTATACATTAAAACTCCAATAAATTTAACTTATACATAGAGTTACATATTGGATAGTATTAGTATACTAATAATAAGTGCTAATATCCCTTGCTCTCAAAAGGCACACTGAAGTGAAGGAGACCAGAGCATAAGCTGACAAGGTCTTTGTGTTCTTGGCTTGTGTTCAAGGAACCAAGTTTATACTCCCTCACCTCGGAGCAGATGTGATGTGGGGAGCAGACAGGCACTGCCACTGTAACAGGCCTTGAGTACCCCAGGCCTGTGGGCAACGGTCTCGCCTGGAAGCTCTGCATTCTAGCCAAAGGCAGGTGAGGGATACAGCCTGCTATGTAAAACGTAGTGGGCCTTGAGTACCCCAAGCTTGTAGACAAGGTCTCGCTGAAAAGCTCTGCATCCTAGCCAAAGGCAGACTGTGACAAATGCAGCCTGCTACATGATGTGTCTTAAATGCCCACACATCCGGGTATACGTAGTACAGATAAAGTCTTAACTACAATAAAGCCCTAGGTACAAAAAGAGAAACACAAAACAGCTCGCCTTCTAGTAATAACATAATTCCACTGTGGTTCGCTCATCTCCCCTAACCTTGATTTATTACTTTATAATAAAGCAAAGGGACATGACGTCAATCACACCTGGACCAAAAGCTGATACTGCTTGTTTTTACAATAATCCCTTGTACTTTGCCCTAGTTTTACCCTATATAAAAAGCATGCTAAATAATAAACAGGCTCTCATCTATTGAGGAGAGAGACCTCCCAATTCCGCTGTCTCTTGTCTGTCTTTCTCATTCCCTCCCCCCACCTCAGGCCCTGCTCTGGGGAGGCTGGACCTCCACACTGAAGAATGGCGTGCTACCTGTAACTTATTTTGAAATAGTTAAAAATAGTTTAAAAAAAGTTAAAGAAGGCCATTGCCAGGCCATTGCCCCCATTTCCTTGCTAAGCTACAGTGTGACCACGTGCTCTTTGAGCTATGGCCGGGCCATGTTTCCTGGCTTTGGCCCTCTCCGCTACCTTGGGGAGGTGAATCTCCTCTCTCTCTCTCTCTCATTTACTTTCTAAATAAACTATATTTTCTAATCTAAAAGAAAAAAGTTAAAGAAAATAAAAGTGGGGGTTTAGAGGACAAGAAAGTATTGTTGCCAAATGTAAACAATTAGTGAAGGATTTATCTATCTATATTCACTGTAATAATCTTTCAATTTCTCTGTAGGCTTGAAATTTTTTTTTTTAAATACACAAAGAGCAGGAAATAGATCAGACAAGATCAGCCCATTGTTAAAAACTATTAAAGCAGAGGATGGGTAGCATGGGAGTTATGTTTTTCTCTCTATTATGTCTCTGTTTGAAATTTTTGTTAATAAAGTTTTGTTTGTTGAGAAACTAGCAAAAGCAGGAAAGTCTCTCTCGCCTTTCCTTCATATTTCTCCCTAAAACAGACCATAAAATAATTCTCTAACGTTCCTCTAAAATATGTCTGAAGACCCTCTTCCCTATACCCAGAGGGAAAGATGTCACACATAGATGCCAGAAAAATATCTGAACAAACAGGCCTTGCTAAATTCACCTGGTTTATTACTATTAGATCATACCTCACTGTCTTCCAATCATGCTTCTGTTCAATTCTCTATAAAAGATACATACTTTCCGTGCTTATTTGGAGCTTTATTTCTAAAGGCCTCTTATGTCACATAAAACCTATTTTAAATAAATGTGTAATGCTTTTCTCTTGTTAGAAATAAAATAAGCCGGGCTCGGTGGCTCAGCCTGTAATCCCAGCGCTTTGGGAGGCTGAGGTGAGTGGATTGCCTGAGCCTGTAGGTTCGAGACCCTCCTGGGCGACTTGGTGAGACCTCATCTCTACAATAAATCAAAAATTAGCTGGGCGTGGTAGCGCGCACCTGTAGTTTCGGCTACTTGGAAGGCTGAGGCGGAAGGATCGCCGGAACCCAGCAGGTGAAGGCTGCGGTGGCCATGAGTGTGTCACTGTACTCCAGCCTGGGTGACAGACTGAGACTCCGACTCAAAAAAAAAAAAAAAGAAAGAAAATTAAAAAGTTTTGTTTGTTTTAAGAAATTGTAAACCGGGCTCCATGGCTCAGCCTCTAATCCCGCACTTTGGGAGGCTGAGGTGAGTGGATTGCCTGAGCCCGCGGGTTCGAGACCCGCCTGGGCAACTTGGTGAGACTTCATCTCTACAATAAAAAAAAAAAATCAGCCGGGTGTGGTAGCATGCGCCTGTTCTTCCAGCTACTTGGAAGGGTGAGGCGGAAGGATCACCGGAGCCCAGCAGGTCGAGGCTGTGGTGGCTGGGAGCAGCCACTACACTCCAGTCTGGGTGACATAGTGAGACTCCAACTCAAAATAAAAATTTTTTTTAATTTAAAAAAAAAAGAAATTATAGGCCAGGCATGGTGGCTCATGCCTGGAATCCCAGCACTTTGGGAGGCTGAGGCAGGAGGTTTGCTTGAGGCCAGGAGTTCAAAAACAGCCAGGGCAACATAGCAAGACCCCAACACTACAAAAAAAACAGTCAAAAAATTAGCTGGGTGTGATGGTGCCCACCTGCAGTCTCAGTTACTCAGGAAACTGAAGGCAAGAGGATCACTTGAGCCTAGGAAGTTGAGGCTGCAGTAAGCTCTGATCATGCCACTGCACTCCAGCCTGGGCACAGAGTTAGAACCTGTCTGGAAGGGAAAAAAAAATTGTAAAATACAGTCATTCTATGGAAATGTCACTTAACTCCTCATTTATTTATTACTGTATTCCTGGTATATGGAACAGTTTCTGACACTTGGTAGACCACACGTATGTGTTGCAATTCATCCTGAAAGTAAGGAGTCCAGATCTGATCCTTTGCTTTTGAAACTACATATTTGAAGTCTATGGACAAACTTTCACGAACACATAGGGTGAACTCAATGAGAAGTGAAGGGAAAATAAAGCTTTCAACCAGAACTAAATATCATCAGCAGTTCAAGAACATTTCTGTCGTTGAATTTCCCCCCTTCCTTGGTAATCACTTGTTTTTATTTCCCTCTGCCTTCCGCCCTCACAGGTACCAATGTGCTGTTGCAGCAAAGCGAGCAGAAGCTCGGGAGAAGTGAAATTCAGTTCCTGATTTCAGATAACCAGGGCTTCAGCTGCCCTGAGAAGCAGATCCTTACACTTACGGTTTGTGAGTGCCTGGATGGCAGCGGCTGCGTGGAAGCTTTTCGTGACTCCTATGTGGGCCTGGGACCCGCAGCAGTGGCGCTTATGATATTGGCCCTTTTGCTCCTGCTACGTAAGTCTTCCAAAAACCACCCATTGGCCGGGCACGGAGGCTCACGCCTGTAATCCCAGCATTTTTGGAGGCCGAGGAAGCAAAAAAAATAACAATCCAAGGAGGATTGCTTGAGCCCAAGAGTTCAGGACCACCCTAGACAACGTAGCAAGACCTCTTCTCTACAAAATATCAAAAAATTAGCCAGGCATGGTGGCACACACCTGTAGTCTCAGCTACTCAGAAGGCTGAGGAGGAAGGATCACCTGAACTCAAGAGTTGGAGGCTATGGTGAGCTGTAATTATGCCACTGCATGCCAGTCTGGACAACAGTGAGACCCTGACTCAAAAAATAAATAAAAGAATCTGGGTGGTAGTTAGTCAGTTCATCAATGCAAGTGCAGATATGGTTAATATTTCCTGAATTGATCAAGGGGCCGATGTTGGTCTTTGCTTCCTCCCTAGAGGACTCTGAAATTGTATTGAATTCTAGATGAAATGTTAAATATAGTCTAAGATATTTTAATGTAGAATCATTTTAGAAAATAGATACTTCAAAGATTAATTGGGACTTCAGAGAGTCATGCCTTGTACAAAATTTTACTCTAGGGAGAAATATAGCAGTTTACTTGAATATATTAAACTGTTTCTACTTTTAGGAGATTTTGATCTTTTTAATAGCTCTTTTTTTTGGATAGTGATTTTTTTTTAAATTGGAAAGTGGTTTACAAAAATGTAATATTTAAGTTGATTTTTATGACTTGGGTAGTATCTAATCCAGTCTTGGTAATCTACTCAGTAACCACAAACAGTCTCTTTGTGGTGAACATGCCTTTGAATCAGTAAGACTCCCTCATCCTGTCTCTAGGCTTGGGTGGAATTAACTCAGAACAAACTTGGAGAGGTTGGATCCAGATGAAGAAAGAAATTTAAAAATAAATAAAAAATAGAAACTAATAAAATAATTATTATATTCATAATATATAATATAATATGCAATATAATGATAAACAATAATGAAACAATAAATAGAATCATAAATAATAAATATAGAATAATTGAATAAAATAATAGAAAAAAAGTGAAGACAACTCCAGGAAGTAATTCCAGAATTATGCAACAGAAATACGGAAATAGGCAGGGTTCGGTGGCTCAGTCTGTAATCCCAGCACTGTGGGAGGCCACAGCGAGTGGATTGCCCGAGCCCGCGGGTTCAAGACCCACCCAGGCTTGGTGAGACCTCGCCTCTACAATAACTCAAAATAAATCAGCCAGGCGTGGCAGCGTGAGCCTGTAGTTCCGTCTTCTTGGAAGGCTGAGGCGGAAGGATCTCAGGAGCCCAGCAGGTCGAGGCTGTGGTGGCCGGGAGCGGCCACTGCCCTCCAGTCTGGGCGACAGAGTGAGACTCCAACTCAAAAAAAAGAAATGTGGAAATACATCAGGATTCACCATCTCTGTACTCACTTTTGTCTGTGCAGTTGTGCCACTTTTACTGCTGGTATGCCACTGTGGCGAGGGTGCCAAAGGCTTTACCCCCATACCTGGCACCATAGAGATGCTGCATCCCTGGAATAACGAGGGAGCGCCACCTGAAGACAAGGTCAGTTCCTTATATGTCAGTGTCATGCGTCTTCTTTTTGAATTTTAAAGGGGTCTTGGACAGTGCCTTTAACATTTTTGGTCATGAGTGAATAAAGCAGCCATTACGGATTTCACTCACTTGCCTTTCTTGGATCTACAGAGGGTTCAAACAACTACATATTTTGTGTTTTTTGCCAGGGCAAAGTTGAGAGGGTTTACCCCACTGTGACATGTCCTGTGTTACAAAGAATGTAGAGGAAGGGTCAGGGAGAACAGAGGTATGTAGGGATTTAGGATAGACACTTTTGCCCCGGTATTAAATGGAAGTTTTCACAACCAGGAACTGCTCTGTTTTTATTCCCTCCATACACAGCGTTGACAGATAAATTCACAAGCCCCAGGAGAGTTGTAAAACATTACAGAATCCCCTCTCCCATAGCTTTTGTAATGACCATTTCCTTTTGTCTCCCTGTTCAACTTCACCCTGGATCTTTCAGCACCATCTGCCAGGAGCACCATTTCTAGCAGTATAAGGTTTAGCACTGAGTGTCAAAGAACTCAAAATAACAGTGGCTGGCCAGACTCAGCCTATAATCCCAGCACTTTGGGAGGCCGAGGCAAGTGGATTGCCTGAGCCCGCAGGTTCGAGACCAGCCCAGGCAACTTGGTGAGACTTAGTCTCTACAATACATTAAAAAAAAAAAAAAAAAAATCTAGCCAGACGTGGTAGCGCACACCTGTAGTTCCAGAAGGCTGATGCAGAAGGATCATTGGAGCACAGCAGATCAACACTGGGGTGACCATGAGCATGCCACTACACTCCAGCCTGGGTGACGGAGTGAGACTCTGACTCAAAAAAAAAAACAAGCCGGGCTCGGTGGCTCAGCCTGTAATCCCGCGCCTTTGGGAGGCTGAGGTGAGTGGATTGCATGAGTCCGCGGGTTCAAGACCCGCCTGGGCAGCGAGACCTCATCTCTACAATAAATCAAAAAATCAGCCGGGCGTGGTAGCGCGTGCCTGTAATTCCGGCTACTCGGAAGGCTGAGGCGGAAGGATCACCGGAGCCCAGCAGGTCGAGGCTGCGGTGGCCGGGAGCGGCCACTGCACTCCAGTCTGGGCGACAGAGTGAGACTCCAACTCAAAAAAAAAACAAAAAAAAAAAAACAGTGGCTTAAACACAAACCGGGTAGGCCAGGATCAACGTGATGCTTCCTGCATAACATGGCCCCTGGCTCCTCCTTTCATGTTGTTTTCTTTCCATGGATGAGTTCCATTCCCACTATCCTCATGTTCTAGACACTAGCTATATTCTCTACATTCCAACCAGCAGATGGGAGAAAAGCAAAAAACCACTCTTTAAGCACACTTCCCAGAAGCTGTATACACCATGTCTGCTTGACTCACATTGACCACAATGGACGGCCATACCTAATAGCATCAGAGGCTTACACATGTAGTCTTTTTTTTTCTTGAGTTGGAGTCTCACTCTGTCACTCAGGCTGGAGTGCAGTAGCATACTGCTCATGGCCACCACAGCCTCGACTTGCTAGGCTCAGGCAATCATGCCCTTCCAAATAGCTGGAACCACAGGCATGAGCCACCACACCCAGCTAATTTTTTTATTTATTGTAGAAACGACGTCTCGCCATATTGCTCAGGCTGGTCTCAAACCCCTGAGCTCAGGCAGTCCTCTCGCCTCTACCTCCCAAAGTGCTGGGATTACAGAGGTGAGCCACCCCGCCCGGCTATATAGTCTATGTATCCAGCAAAAAAACAAAATAAAGGGTTCTGTAACCATAGAAGAAGGCATCAAACTCTAGAGGAAGGTTGAAATACCATTGGTGCCAGCAGAGTAAGTGAATTGAGACCATATGTGAATGTTTTGGTTTTGTTTCCTCCTTGGGTTATATCAACTATGAAATCAGAAGGTAGACAACAGGGAGATCTTCACAAGATTCAAACAGAGGTTATTCAACCCAAAATACTTTTTCTAATTGGTCTCTGTAGAATGAGCTTATCTCTTCCTCTGGCCACTCAGCTCAGATCTTTCACCAACCATACTGACCCTTCAGCCTTCTCACTCTGGACTCCACTGTATTTGCTCTTTCAGGTGGTGCCTTCACTTCTGCCAGTGGATCAAGGGGACATTCTGGCAGTAAGAAGTGGAGCAGGCGGTCTAACCAAGGAACTCACCATGAAAGGAAGCAACTCTGCTTCCGTTGCCAAAGGGCAACACGAAATGTCTGAGGTGGACGGAAGATGGGAAGAACACAGAAGCCTTCTTTCTGGTGAAACTACTCAGGTCACAGGGACAACAGGGATCATCATGGGCCCTGAAACCATAAGGACCACACGAGCCATGGGGGCTTCCAGAGACATGGCTGGAGCTCGAGCAGCTACTGTGGTATTGAATGAGGAATTCTTAAGAAGTTATTTCACTGATGTAAGGATTGGCTTTTATGTACGGGAAAAAAATTTTATATGTGAATGTGTTATTATCAGGATAATGACTATCTTGGATCTAAATGGGACTTTGGGAGTTTTTAAGGTTTGGTTTGTTTGTTTTGGGGAGAAAGAATTCTTATAGGCGATAAGGAAAGAGAAACCTGACCCACTGAATCAGTAGGTGTTAGCTGAATTATGTCGTGATAACAGGCACCCCCACACTCTTAGTTCCAAGACAGATGCTGAGAGAGCAGATTGTACCTGGGAAGCTACCATCCTTGTGGCCCTGGGAAAAGAGCAAGGCAGAACTTTAAGGCAGTGGCTTGTGAAGCCTCCATCTTTTTACTTAAAACTCACATTTCATTGACCAAAGCAAGTCACATGACCAAGACAGCCATCAATGGGTCAGAGAATTCCCTCCCTCTATAGAAGCAGATTTGGTAGGGATGAGCCCAGTAGGAAGAGGCAGAGAATATATGACCTAAAAACACATCTATTTAGTCCATTTAAATTTTACCTTCTAAGCTGGACTTGGTGGCTCAAGCCTGTAAGCCCAGCACTTTGGGAGGCAGAAGTGACAGGATTGCCTGAGCCCAGGGTTTTGAGACCAGCCCAGAAAACTTGGCGAGACCTCATCTCTACAATTAAAAAAAAGAAAAAATTAGCTGAGTGTGGTGGCCCCACACCTGTAGTTCCAGCTACTTAGAAGGCTGAGGCAGAAGGTTTGCCTGTTCCCAGCAGGTCAAGGCTTCAGTGGCCATGAGCGTGCCACTACACTCCAGCTTGGGCGACAGAGTGAGACTCCTGACTCAAAAAGAAAAAAATTTACTTTCTATAGAAGAGTACTTGGCTTCACTGTTAAGGGGGTTCCCCCAAAAAATGATGAGAAAAGTTGCAGGAAAGATAATCAGATGCAGAAAGGAAGTTCATGCTTAGAATTGGGAATTAGGGCCGGGCTCGGTGGCTCAGCCTGTAATCCCTGCACTTTGGGAGGTTGAGGCGAGTGGGTTTCCTGAGCCCACAGGTTCGAGACATGCCCAGTTAACTTGGAGAGACCTCGTCTCTACACTAAATCAAAAATTAGCCAGGCATGATAGCATGCGCCTATAGTTCGGGCTACTTGGAAGGCTGAGGTGGAAGGTTCGCTGGAGCCCAGCAGGTCGAGGCTGTGGTGACTGGGAGCATGCCACTGCACTCCAGTGTGGGCGACAGAGTGAGACTCCAACTCAAAAAAAAAAAGAATTGAGAATTAGAAGCAGGACTGAAAATAAAAGGGTTCCATAGAGGAGTACATTTCAGAATAAGAATTATTGCCAAGAATATCTCATAATGGAAAATGAATCAATTCTTCAGGTCTAATATCCTAAATATGTCAGTACCAACCAACAGGAACACAAAAACTGATAGAACTAAAAGAGAAATTAACAAATCCATATTATAGTTGGAGAGTTTAGCTTCTTTCATCAGTAACTGAAAGAACAAATAGACAGAAAATCAGTAAGGATATATTATAGAAAGCATAACACCACCATCAACTGACTGAATCTAATTGGTTTTAATAGAACGCTGGGCAACAAAAAGATTTTATTTTGATATAATTTTTATGTTCAGATAAGAATTACCAAAGTAGCACACAGAGTTTATATATATTCTTTAGGCAGTAGTCCCTAATGTTACATCTTACACAACTATTGGACATTTATCCAAAATAAATAATAATAATAAAGTATTTTTTTAGCAATTGTTTTCCTTGTCCAGGATCCTGACATTTCATTTAAAGTGGCATGACACTTTAGTCTCCTTTAATCTGAAACAGTTCCTTCAGCCTTTTTTAAATTGTCGTGATAATAATATTTTTAAGTATTAATCATGTTAATAATATTTTATTTATTTAGAGTGAGAAAGCAGGAGTTTATTAAAAAGACAAAAAAGCTCCTAAGCAGGAGAGGACCTGAAAGAGGATTGCCCAATTTTTTTTTTTTTTAATTGTAGAGACGAGGTCTTGCCAAGTTGCCTGAGTGGGGCTCGAACCCGCAAGCTCAGGCAATCCACTTGCCTCGACCCCCCCCAAAGCGCTGGGATTACGGGCTGAGCCACCAAATCTGGCCCAAATATTAATATCTTCAAGAGTACGGTTGTGTCATAGGCTGCCTCTCAATTTGTGTTTTCTGATGTTTCCTCGCAGATTCAAGTGATGTATTTTGAACAGGAATATGTGTTACTAATTACTTGTCTCTTTTTTTGTTTTTTATTTTAGAAAGCGACATCTTACACTGAGGATGATGAAAATCATACAGCCAAAGATTGCCTTCTGGTTTATTCTCAGGAAGAAACTGAATCTTTACACGGTTCCATTGGCTGTTGCAGTTTTATTGAAGGAGAGCTAGATGACCGCTTCTTAGATGACTTGGGACTGAAATTCAAGACACTAGCTGAAGTTTGCTTGGGCCAAAAAATAGATACAGATATGGAAATTGAGCAGAGGCAAAAATCTGTCACAGAAACAAGCATGAACACAGCTTCACGTTCACTCTATGAGCAAACTAGGGTTAACGCAGAGAACGCCCACTTCTCTGGCAGTAGCTTTCCAGTTGCAAAACCTTTGCATGAAGCAAAGGCTGAGACAGTAACCCAGGAAATAGTCACGGAAAGATCTGTGTCTTCCAGGCAGGCTCAAAAGGCAGCTCCACCCCTTCCTGACCCACTGGCTTCTGGTAATGTTATAGTGACAGAAACTTCGTATGCCACAGGCTCCACGGTGCCACCAAGCACTGTGATCCTGGGTCCCAGACAGCCACAAAGCCTTATTGTGACAGAGAGGGTGTATGCCCCAGGGCCTACCTTGGTAGATCAGCATTATGCTAATGAAGGCAAGGTCATCGTTACGGAAAGAGTAATCCAGCCAAATGGGGGCTTGTTGAATCCCCTGGAAGATACTCAGCATTTGCAAGATGCAGGTTACGTCATGGTGAGGGAAAGAGAGAGCTTCCTTGCCCCCAGCACAGGTGTCCAGCCCCCTTTGGCCATGCCTAGTGTCTCAGTAGGACAGAATGTGATAGTGACAGAAAGAGTTCTAACACCCGCTTCCACTCTGCAGTCTAGTTACCAAATTCCCACCGAAAACTCAATGAAGGCTAGAAAGACCCTGGTATCCGAAGCCGGAGTCACTGACCCCCCACCAAATTTCGGTGTAGAGAAATCTGGCCATTCTAATTCTACCATAACCACATCTTCCACCAGAGTCACCAAGCACAGCACTCTACAGCACTCATACTCCTAAACAGCAGTCAGCCCCAAACTGACCCAAAGTTTAACTAGCAGTGACTGATTTCCTGCTTTCAATAGACCTGGCTTTTCAAGAGCCTTCCAGACATGCAGAGACACATATACATGGAGCTTAAAATGTTTCTGAGTACTGATGTGCAAAGGGCCACACCGTCTCTGCTCTCAGGGGTACATTTCACGCTCTATTACTTACCGAAGACATAGGGACGATTCTGCTTTTTAGGTGCCTTCTAGTGATTTATGCAAACAATATTCACAAAACAAGATAGTCAGTCTGGCTTTGAGAATTTACCAAATTAATAGAGATCCAGTTCATCAGCATCCTGTAGAGCAACCCAGGAAGCTGATTGGGTCTCCTTGCCCCACCTTGTAACATTTAGCACTGACGTTCTATGTTCTGTACCTTACTGCCTCTGGCCGGTCATCAACTCGTAGACCCAAAGATACATGCACAGTCCAGGCTGCCAGATTTGCTGTTGGCTTTCCTTAGGACTGAAACCCTTTAAATCTGTGTGAGGTTGATTAAATTTTGAAACATTGACATGGTAGGAACACGTTTCTGTGCATGTGACATATATGTGTGTATGGACACATGCATGTCATATGGTCTTAAAAATACACCTCTTCCGTGTCTTAACAGTCCTGAAAATTTTGAACACTTTAGATGAATAATCTGGGACAAAGTTCATAAATATAAAATATTTTACTTTTTATAGTAATAATCTATTTTTAAAAACCCCGCAGGATATGTTGTCTTTCAAACAGCTACAATTCAGTGCAGCTAAATTGAGCAGCTGTTCTCTAGTTGTGGTAGGATCCATGCCTATTTCACTGTTATGTGTTCTCAGCGCCTACCCTGGGTGCCAAGTGTATATTTGTGAAACAGGTTGTACAAACCATCCTCTTATCTACAATTGCCAAGAATACCAAAGTTCTTATATTTCTATCAGTCTGTGTTTGAAATTAGGATTTTATTCTGATGTCTCAAAGTCATTGACTTGGCATGACTTAATATAAGAGTAGTAAATATAAACACCTCAAATAGTTTGACCTGATTTTGCACAATATCCTTGCCTTTCTTTTTCACAAGTTTTTTTTTATGAATTATTTGGCTTGTTTAGCTCCTAAATAGATTATATTTTGTTGCTTCCTACCAACAGTAATGTTTCAAAATATATGTGCATATCAGTAATAATTTGTATATTTTCCACAACAAAAAAATTATCATAATTTTCAAAGACTCTAATTTCTTGACTTTCAAGATATTTTGCTAGGGAAATTAAACTTTAAAATTTCACTTTTGTGGACTTTTAAAAAATATTGTTGACATGAATTGTGTTATGCGGAGAATTTATACAGTATGCTCCCACTCACTGTGGCTAGGTAAGGGCAAATATTTTTAGACATCACAAGTCTATAGTTAAGATAGAGGTCACTCTTCCATGATCTAAAGTTTTTTACTGTCTACTTAGTAACTGTTGGGTTTTTTTTTTTCTTTTGGTTATAGACTTAGTTATATTTTGCCAAGTATGCAACAGAAACATCACTGCTGTGTGAAAATGCAAATATGACCTAGTACTCAGAACAAACAAAATTGGGTCTTAAGATTCTTCCTTGGGCAGACTTTGAAACTTAACCTGTTTCTTGTACATAACACAATCACATTTTCTCAATGGTTTTCTTTGTTCCTGAAAAAGTGATTTGCATTAGTTTCAAATTTTTTTGGTTTTTTTGGAAGATGATATTTGTATATGTATCATAAAATATTTAAATAAAAAGACTACCTTTGGAGTGACCCTCCCCAAGTCTTTTTTATTAGTCTATCATATTTTACAAGGAATACAGCTAGTTGCTAAGAGGAGAGAACACCATAAAGGAAGGTGTTTCTTGGACTTTGTTATTTAATTAGGCATGTGCCCAGCCCAGTCAGCCTGTAGTTTAAAAAAAAAAAAAGTGCCGGGCTCGGTGGCTCAGCCTGTAATCCCGCACCTTTGGGAAGCTGAGGTGAGTGGATTGCCTGAGCCCGCGGGTTCGAGACCCGCCTGGGCAGGCGAGACCTCATCTCTACAATAAAATAAAATTAGCTGGGCGTGGTAGCGCGCGCCTGTAATTCCGGCTACTCGGAAGGCTGAGGCGGAAGGATCGCCAGAGCCCAGCAGGTGGAGGCTGTGGTGGCCGGGAGCAGCCACTGCACTCCAGTCTGGGTGACAGAGTGAGACTCCAACTCAAAAAAAAAAAAAAAAAAAAGTAGCTGCTGTTTATCTGAAATTCCAATTTAACTGAATACTCCTCAACTCTGGCACCATTATTTCTGAGGAATTGAAAATCACTTTCTACCCAGGAAGTAACACTAGAGAAACCTGTTAGGTTTGGCCGGAGAAAGCTCACACACCTGATTCAAAGAGATGAAATCATTCTAACAGTGTTTGACAGGCTGTTTAGGTGTCGGTCATAGTTTACAAGGGAAAAGATCAGGGTTGCTGCTGTGGAGAAAGAAAAATATATCTTTTTATTTTACCCTTCTAGGTTCTCAGCTGAGGCTCTGTAACAAAACACAGAATAACAGAAAAACAAGGCCGGGTACAGTGACTCACACTTGTGATCCCTGCATTCTAGGAGGTTGAAGCAGGAGGATTGCTTTAGACCAAGAGTCCAAGACCAGCCTGTGCAACATGGCAAGACCTCTTCTCTACAAAAAGTCAAAAAATTAGCCAGGCGTAGTGACGCACACCTCCTGCAGTTCTCGCTCCTCTGGAGGCTGAGGTGGAAGGATCACTTGAGCCCAGGAAGTGGAGGCTGCATCACCTGAGCCCAGGAAGTTGAGGCTGCGGTGAGCTGTGATGGTGCCACTGCCCTCCAGCTTGGGCAACAGAGTGAGACGAAAAAACAAAAACCTATTAACCTGTATATCTCCTATACACAAGGGAGAAAATCTGAGTATCTCAAAAGGGTGGTTAGAACTTGAATTTAAAGTGTTAAAAGCAAACCTTTAAACAAATTACTTTTGACAGGGCTTAATTGAGCAGAGAACAATTCATAAAATTGGGCAGTCCCCCAACCAGAAGAAATTCAAAGAACTCTACTCTGCGCCCTGGGCAGGCAGTATTTATAGGCAGAACCTGGAAGTGAAGTTCAGAAACAGCTTGACCACCCAAAGATCAGCTTTTAACTTATAGGGACAGGGTCTGTGCCGGTGGCAGCCTGTGATTGGCTGAAACTTCGCTGCGGTGATTGGCTGAGACTCAGCTGTTTGTTACAAAGTTATTCTAAATGAGGTTTACAGTTTCCTCATCAAGCTAAATTGCAGTTTATGGCGCAAGGTAAGGCTTCAGCTTCGGGCCAAATTCAGTTTAACAATATAGCTACTTGAAGCCGGGCTCGGTGGCTCAGCCTGTAATCCCGCGCCTTTGGGAGGCTGAGGTGAGTGAATTGCCTGAGCCCGCGGGTTCGAGACCTGCCTGGACAACTTGACGAGACCTCATCTCTACAACGAATCAAAAATTAGCCGGGAGTGGTAGCGCATGCCTGTAGTTCCAGCTACTTGGAAGGCTGAGGTGGAAGGATCGCCGGAGCCCAGCAGGTCGAGGCTGCGGTGGCCGGGAGCGGCCACTGCACTCCAGTCTGGGTGACAGAGTGAGACTCCAACTCAAGGAAAAAAAAAAAAAAAAAAAACCAATATACCTACTTGAATTCAAATAAAGGAAAGGAGATTGGAGGTTTCTGGGCAGAGGAAGCAAGTTACAGAAAGGCAACTAGGAAAAATATAGTAAGCAAGGGAGGGTTTGTTATGCAGGTTTAAGTCAATGTCTTCTCCACAGGAGCCTTGTGATTGATAGTCAATGGCTCTTTCTGGTACAGAGAGGGAAACAGACTTTCAAATGGACATTTCTTTATAAATGTAAATCTCCCTTACAAAAGGGAAATGTATGTTCTGTCTTTAGAGATTCTCTTCTGATTCTTCCTAAAATAATCAGCTCAAAATAATCCTTATGCTAAAAAAGAAAGAGAGAAATATTTTGGGGTAGCATATTCTGATCTCTTACACTGCCAACACTGTAATGTCACATGAATGAGGATTTCACAACACTGGCACATAATGAGACATCCTAGAGCATGAAGACTGTGTTATACACAGTCTCTACAAAAGTCAAAAAATAGGACGGGCACAGTGGATCATACTTGTAATCCCAGCACTTTGGGAGGTGGAGGCAAGAGCCTGAGCCCAGGGATTCGAGACCAGCCCGGGCAACTTGGTGAGACCTCGTTTCTAAAATAAATAAAAAATCAGCTGGGTATGGTGGTGCATACTTGGAAGGCTGAAGCAGAAGCATCACCTGAGCCCAACAGATCAAGGCTACAATACAGTGACTGTGAGTGAGCCACTGTACCTACAGCCTGGGCAACAGAGTGAGACTTCAATAAAAAAAAAAAAAAAGTTCAAAAAAATAACCGGGCATATACTATGCATGGGCACTATGCATAATATATATTTCTGAGACTTCTGTTTCCACTTCAAGTGGTACATAGTGTAACTTTCAGTTGCTCTCTGCAGACCTTACCCCAATCACCAGTACATCAAAATAAGATGGAGCTGATCAAACATCACTTTAAAATGAGGTATTTTAGATTATCATTTTCAGGTAATTAAACTTTACTTCTTGAACATATCAAAGCTTCTTAATTTCATTATTTTAGTGTAACTTAAATCCTCCATATTGTTACTGATTTTTTTTGTCTGCCTTTTCTATTCATTGCTATGAGGGCAGTGTTAAAAATCCCTTACTGCCCGGCATGGTGGCTCACGGCTGTAATCCCGGCAGTTTGGGAGGCGGAGCCCAGAGGATTAACTGAGCTCATGGGTTTGAGACCAGCCTGGACAACTTGGTGAGGCCTCATCTCTACAATACACCAAAAAAATTAGCCAGACATGGTGGTGCACACCTGTAGTTCCAGCTATTTGGAAGGCTGAGGCAGAAGGATCGCATAAACCCTGCAGCTCAAGGCTGCAGTGGCCATAAGCATGCCACGGCACTCTAGCCTGGGTGGCAGAGTAAGAGTCTGACTAAAAAAAAAAAAAAAAAATCCCTACTTACTGTGGATTTATTTCACCCTCTAATTCTTTCTACTTTTGCTTCCTGTCTTTTGAAACTTTATACCTGTGTTAT